TCCATCATGAGAATGCAGTGTTTCAAAAAGAGGGATTTGGTGTTGTCGTTACCGTCTTCACAAGCGCTGTGAAAGGGTTCATGTGGATGAAAAGCAGACTTCCGGCCAGTAGTTGTGTTAGGATTAGGAAATACACTAATGTCAGTTTACTAGTGGATTCGTAACATGAGGGAAATACTGATTCATGCTGGAAGCAAAAAGTTACTGTTCATTTGTTTCTTTACTTCTTCAACAAGCCCAAAGTTTTGGGGGAGCTTAAAAGCTACCCAAAGCTGCTTTTTCCTCTGATGCGTGCTTTTTACTCGCTAAGCTTTCCTGAGCAAGCTACCCTTTTAGTGGCCAACTGCTTGAGATGCTTCCTCTGCCGCAACAACTTGCGCTGTGCTTGTCTAAATGAATGATCTCTCAGAGGGTTAATGCCTCAGCCTATAATAAAGGCTCATGTTTTTCCCTTCTTCTCCATGAGTTTCCTCTGTCACACCATTTTTAGTGCCAGACATGTAGTTTAATTACATAGATTTTTGAGGTAGTCATGCAGCCAGGGTTAAAATAACTACTTACCTGTGCAGAATCTAGACAAAGTAGTGTAATGATCTGGAGAGGGAAGGTTTTACATTGTGTAAATGCCTGTCTGGGTCTCAGAATTCTCTACGTTGATTTAGATATGCCCCTTTGTGCCCACACGTTAGTAAAAACGTGAGCTATGGAACATCCCTGTCATTACTTGTAACCTTTATTTTCAAAATTGGAATCAGCTGTTATGAATTAATTATAAAATTATCTGAAAACCCTTTTGCAAATGTAGTGTGCTTGTCTGTGTTCCCGCTCAAATGTTAAGGTCAGCTGTTGCAAAGCTGCATTTCAACTGCTTTGCTTAATGTTAATTCTGAAAATATACATCAGAGCATCCACAACTGCCCATAGTGAATTGCAGTCCTACACCACCTCTTTTGTTCAGTTACGGTATTTTCAAATGAGGGGAGGAAATAGGTGCTTGTTTTTAAACTTAAACCCGACTTCAATTTTTCAGAAAGAGAAAAGCTTTTGTGCTTTTTTTCCCCATGCCTCAAAGCCTATCTCCGCACCAGAAATACGTTTTGGAGGGCAAAGCTATCAGAGTTCCTTTCTGCGTCTGTTCACACTTCTTGCAGAGCAGCTGGAGGAGATGTTTTATGGTCTCTGTAGGTGCACCCTCGTGCTGGGAGAAGGAGGCTGGGGCTAGAGGAGCAATTCCGGGCAGCCGCACCGGGAGAGCGCCCAGGCAGGACTCGGGGAGCTGTCCATCTGCCGGACCCTCACCAGCAGCCACTGAGGCTGGCTGGGCTTCTAGCTAGCCTAGCCTGAAAACGTCAGCAGCCTTATTGTGCTGGGCTGGGCGGGCTTGGGGCTATTTTAATGTTGATTTGAAAAATTTATCCAGTTTTACATGGGCTTCATGAAAATCACTTCTTGCTAGTGTTATAAAACGCATAAATACGCTTATTCCTGGCACTTAGTTTCTAATGAGCTTCCTGTTACCATACCATTAAATGCTTCATAATCTAATGCACAGTTATTTTTACTGCACATCTTCAGTGCACCTATCTTACAGATTTTTAATTTTTTTTTTTAGGGCCAGAAAAGGCCATTATAATCATGCTGCGTTCTTAAGCATGCTAGGATACTTGTATTTGAAATTTCTGTGCATCGATTCCATGCTTCATTTTTAGCTGGAGTTTTTCTTTAAAAATGTATGTAAACTTGGTTTCAAGACTTTGAATGATAGGGAGCCCAACGTGCCCTTTCTCAGTATAGTTATATAATCTGTTAAACTTTGCATTCATTCCTAGCCTGAACTTATCCAATGTAATTTTCCAACAAATAGTTCTAGTTATGCCTTTCCTTGTGAAAGAAGGGCTGCCAAGCTATTTACTGTCTGAATTATCTTCCTTTGTAGATGCTTGTGATCAGTGCAGATCTTGACCTTCTTTGGGAAGAACAAGATTGGAGTGTCTTGACTTTCTCGCAATAAGGCATGTTTTTAGATCTTCAAATCTTTCTCCTAGCTCTGTTCTGAATCCTTTCCTAGTTTTTCAGACTTAGTCAAGTGTGAACATTTTGTTCAAGTAACTAATTTACTATCATACACGAAGTAGTACTCAGTAGAATACTAAGGCATGACGATGCCAATCGTACAGTTTGCACGGGAACAGTACGCCAGTGTAGGCTACTGAAAGCAGGCCACCTAATTCCTGAGTCACTGCTCTGGTGAGTTGGCTGTACTTCCTCCCTAGGTTGAGGCTTTTCCACTCTCGGTATTAAGAAAGCCACCTCTGGGATCCTCTGAACCTGGAAGAGCTGGAAGTAGATTGCAGTTGTAATACCTTAAATGATGCATAGGCCTGTTTCTTCCTTCACACCCATTTGGTTCTTAAGTGTTTGATGTTTGTAGAAATTAAATCTGTGGCATTGTCATAATAAGTATTTATATTCAAGCATGTGTGTATATTCTGCTTTAATCTCTGTTTATAATTAAAATGCTGGTTAAAAAGTCTACTTATGATTATGTATTTGTTATATAAAACAGGAGGCTACACAATTACTGGCATTTAATGTGAGGCTGAAATATTACAAATATTTTAGCTAATATTTTGGATAGTTTTATTAAATTTCATCTATTGTGAATCACTTTGCAATTTTTATGGTTTCTGAAATGCTTTTATTGGTATTAAATGTTGATTGGTTTTTATTGTAACACATTCTTGCTTAGAAGATCATCCTGGCTTCTGGTTTTGTGGCCCTGGTAGTATGTACAGTACTGCCAAACTAAATGGAAAAAGCAGGGAGATGTACCATATTCCTTGAAGTTTGGTGGTGTTGCAGGTAGCCCCTCAAATCAATATAGAAGAACTTGACAAGAAAACCCATGTACCATCCTGTTGCCTTTAGGGTAAAACTAAGCCTATAGACATCTCCATTGTATTTTGATATCCTACATGTATTCTAATCCTTTAAGCTACGGAAGTGTTGTTACTAATTTTCCGTAACTTGTTACATTAGTTTAGTTTAACTTTGAACTTGCTTAAATCAGGAATTTCTTATTTTGACACTTGTATTCCTAAATAAAGATGCCCTTGTCCAGTTAAATTACTTTAGTTGCAGGTTATGTGAAAACAAAGGAGCGGGCTTATTCTCGCATGCATCTGTTGAAGATTAACTATCCCATGTGGAGAAGTCTTTGGCAACTAATGCTGTTCTGGAGTGGTAATCCCATAAAGCTAGAGAGCTAGAGGGTAGCACAGCACCGTTCTGCTGTCCATCACTTCTCTACCTGTTGTTTCTGACGCCAGCTGCCTAACGCTCTGCTCTACGGACCATCATCAGTCTCACGGTGAAACGTCTGGGTTCGACGGTTAGCAAAGGATCTCGGGCGCTTCAGCTCCGAGAGTGACACCACCCCCTGTACAGTGCTTTGCTGCCTCGTGCCGAGTTGTTTTGTTTCCAGTGTTGACATGCTCCCCTTTGACTGGATTGAATGAACTTGATTCATATGAGCAAGATGGTCAGAAAAAGAGGAAAATGACACTATGTTCAGTCTTACAGGTGAAGTGCCCAAGATCTTTCAGATTAGTAATCCATTCTGAAAAGCCAGCATCTCTTCCTTTTGACAGTTCTGATGACCCTCCTTCAATCTGTCCATTCCTAGTGACATGTACTTTCCACATGTTCTTAAACTGCATGTGCTTGTTAATCCCTGCACACATTTCCCATCATCCCTTGTGTTAATTTGTAAAGAGGGGAAACTAGTTCTTCACTGTTCTTGCTGTTCAGGACTGTACTCCCTGTTGATAGCAGGGTACCTGTGAATTTACGCAAGCACAATGTGCAGTGTCCGATTATTAGTATGAAATTAAAAAATTTTAAGAAGGCTTTAATCCTGTGGTGCCTTTGGCATACAGCCTGGTTACAGGAGCTGAACTGACTGTGAATCAGATCATCACAGAAGCATGTTCCCGTACCAGTCACTGTCAGGTCTCCAACCCAACAAGGGTGACATGTCAGAAAATAAATATGCAAGAAGGGCAGCAGTACAGCCCAGGCTTGTCACCTTGGTTTTGGCAGACCTTTGGAGTCAGAAACGTTCTTGGAACAAGAGTTCCAAAGAGAAGCTGAAGGAGGGAGGGGGAGAAGAGGACACAATAAATGAAGGAGTGGTTGCAGCACTGAAATGTAATGGGAAAGATAAAGTTGATGTCAGGGAAAAACGTGAATCTGCGGAAGCAACTACATTAGTTGATTCAAACAGCTCATTCTTAGAGAGTCATTTGAAAATGCCAGAGCATTAAGGCAGTACTCAGGCCCAGTTTCGTCCTTCCTGGCCCAGGAGCATGGCAGAGGTCCAACAGATGCAGTGGGAGGGGAGCAGTGAAATTTTGATGGGTGCATTACACAGTTTGACTAGTTCAAGCAAAACTGGGCTCTTGTCTGCATTTATTATATCTGAATCTGCTGCCTTTCCAAACAAGGAGGTTACACCATGGGGCAACTAACTGTCCATCTCCCTTCTTGTCCACTAACCTTAGGGAGCATAAACTATTGCTTTTTCTGGGAATTTTTGGCATCAAAGAATTTTTCAATTGGTACAAATAATTGAAAGAAAAAAAGTGTTTGTTGCAACTTCCTTGACAGGTGTGTAATATATTTGCAACTGCATCAAACAAGCAGCTACTTGAAAGTATGTAGTTGGGACATAAAGCTTGTTCAGAATTTGCTGCGTTAAACAAAAGTGCTTGGCATTTGAAGCTGTTTTGAAGATCTGAAACGAAAGGAAAAAAAAAACCAAAATATGCTCTCAAGATTTATTGGGTGATAAACATATAATGCTATACTTCGTGCTATGGTGGGTGCACTGGGTTCACTCATTCAGCTGTGAAAGATTTAATATTGACTTGCACTTTCTGCCTAAGAATTAATTAAGAATGGTTTGAAATATCTTATGATTCATGTGGACTATTTGATATATTGCAGGTTCTTCAGCAAAAGCACTTGTGAGCTTGAAAGGTAAGAAATTAATGTGTTATTTACTTGTACCCTATCTGACTTTCAGGTGTACTTAGTTTCTGGCTTAAAGAAAAAAAAAAAAAAACCAAACGCCACCATGAAGGTTTTTTTGTTGTCAATATTATTGGTTTTTTTGTGGATATTTGTTAGTTCTATAGACTAATAATCCTTGGTGGTTGAAACTACCTATGTTGTGGTGTATTTAGACACTGCTTTTCTGGGTGAAATTCCTGAAATGTGTTTTTTCTTCCTAAGTACTGCCTAGGCATCAGGTTTGATGAGAAGATTGAGATAATCTTTCCTCTCTTGAGGATGAGATAGGAGAAGGATTCTTCGCGAGGCCTGTACACGTGACAAAATTTACATTAGGAAGGAATTTCAGTCTCGTGTTTTCTGTCAGCAAGTTGTGGGCTAAATCAAAAATCTGTTTCTTCTATCTTTTTCTTTGAAATTGTCTTCATGAACATTCATACAACTTTTGAATACTCATAATCTGCCCACCATAAAAGTCTCTTTTTGTATTATAAGGCTTCTGTTACACAAGGAAGAAGACTCTGGAATATGTTGTAACTCATGTAGGTTTGTTTCACTAAAATTTGATTTACTTGTTGGTATGCACCCACTTAATCATTTTTTAGAACCGGAAGACGACCAGGTCTTGTAGAGCTTTACCGTCTCCAGGTTTCTGTTACATCCACAGCACAGCTGTCCAGATGTGTGTCAACCTGGCGGTGGAAGTAACTGATTCCAGCAAGGGACATTTCAAGATATCTAAGTGTTGTCAGCAGTAAAAAGTATATTGTTCCTGTTTCTCATTGTAATGAAAAATCTTTCAGGGTTTTTTTGGTTTTTTGGTTTTGTTTTGGTTTGGGTTTTTTTGTGTTCAGAACAATTTAATAAAAAACTCAAAATCTAATCCATTAGTGGTTGAATCCAAAGAGGATGTTGCAAGTAACAAAAATATATTAGTAGTTGATGATGTTATACCAACATTTGCATAGCAGTTATGTTAAAGCATACACATATGCATAGGTGTATTAATGACAGTATTTCTTCACAACAGAGGGAAGCTTATCCAGTTCGTGGAATGAAAAGTACAATTCTCTGCAGAAAACACCTATTTGGAAAAGCAAGAATGCTGGTTCTGCAGTGGAAATGGTAAGAAGCAATAAAAAGTCATGATTGGTAAAAGAATCATAAAGTGAATCAGATTTAAGGATCAAAAAACTTGGCTGAGATTTATAGTGTCATAATTCCCGAATGTTAAACTATGTCCTTCACCAGCAGTCTGCACAGTTTGAACACGAGATGAAAACGCGTTTTATAAATGAATAATCAAACAAATTAAATTGCTGACCTTGTTCAAGATAGCTCGTAATCATTTTCTCTTTTTTTTTTGTCAGGCAAGTGCTGTGTGAAGTGTTTGTCTTGTACCTAGCACCTTGAACTTAGGAATAGACATTTCTGATCTACCGTTTGTTTTATCTCGTGAAATAGCTCACTTCTAATTATGGCAGAGAACTGATGCATAAAGAGGAGGAAGGGAAAATGTCATAATGCGCTTCCATCATTGTGCCTTCAGGGGGGCAGATTTTAATAAAAAGAAGGGAATGTCAGTGAAATGTCATGTCATATTCCGAGAGGTCTCGTAGGACACCCTACGTTAAAGAACATCCTTGGGGTTGGAGAATGAAAAGTAGTGAGCCTGCAGCCTCCAAGGGCACGGTCTGGTGTTTGGGTTGACCATTTCCCTCTCTCTTTTTGAAATATTCCATTGGTGTTTCTTTCCTCATTGTATCACATTCAACCTCTTCTTGACTATTCTTAACCTCCTCTACTTCACTGAATTACATGATTTTTGGTTTAGTTTTGCCAACAGCTAGATGGAACTCAGTTTGCCTACACCTGTAATACTGTACACTCTCTTTACTACACCCTGGAGAGCATATGAAATAACTCTCTCAATTGCTAGGCAGCCCTTTCTCCCATACTCTTCTGGTACCGCCGCCTTCTACAGTCGTTGCGACCATCTTGCCGACTGTCACCTGTTTTTTTTATTCAAATAATTATTTTTTTGTCAACTGTTTGTTTATTGGAAAGGAAGCGTTATGTTTGAAAACTGTTGGGCTTTCCTGCTCTGCACATAATCAAAATATCTGAAGAGCACCCAGTAGTGCATTAAGCGATGTGGCTAACATCTGTCACATGTGGCTGCTTCCGTGATCTTCTCCCTGTAGAGAGAAACTTGCACAAAGGTGGTGTTTATTTTGGTAGGATTCACGCAGGTGCGGATATCTACACACTTGTTGCTATGTGTTTGTGCTTGAGTACATAAAGTCTACAAAATGCAGATCCAGACAGTGACCAAAACTTTGTGATGACCCTCAGTTTCTGCAGGGTCCACAGTTTTCAGCCATTCCCCACAAACGCTCATCTTCTCATGGATACAAGCCTTACCAGTAACGCAGAAGATCGCATGTGCTAAAGAACCGAAGCCGCTAGAAATAACATTTGTGCAAAAACTTTGTCGATATTTAGGTCTGCTGCCCGTAGGTATTAAACGTAAGGAGTCAAACTTTGAACGTAGCTCAGTATTCCATAGAAAGCTGGGATAAAGATGAGAGGATAGCCTGACGTCCCGTGTTGCTGAGATGCAATGTAGTCTTCTGTATTAGTCCGAGTGCCCTGAACACGGAAAGTTTTGCAGATATGTTGTACTGTTGGTTGAAAAATCTTTCCCAAAAGGCCTGACCTATTTAGCTACCATGGATGATCCCTCTTTGTGACGTGAGGCACTGGCAGTCCAGACTGATGAAACACACTTATCGTTTTGGATAGTTCCTTGGAATAGAATTTGGCAGCTTCAGTTGAGGGTTGTAAAACAGTTCTCTTGATCTGGACCATAGCCTTAGCGTAAGGTCGAAGGGACCTCTGCAGTTTTGCCTAGGTTGGTTTAGCTTTTGTGTTCCTGTGTTGGCACCTGCTTTTCATCTGGTACGCTGTCATAGAATCAAGAACTATATAGATGTTTGGGAGAAAAATGTTGCTCTGGAACCAGCGTCTCGGATGTCAAGACTAAAATACAATTGTGTGTACTCACTAGGAACCGGGCTCTTCATCCCATGGGCAAAATGCTGTGATTAGAAAGTCCGGGAGTTCTGCAATGTAAGAGTTTTCAGGATTGTGGACTTCTTTTCTTGCTCAAAAGTTAGAATAGTTCTGACCTTTCGTTTGTAGGGTGGTAGTTTGTCAAGGACAGCAGAGGTGTTCTGTTAGAACATAAAGACATTGAAATTTAAGATTGTTCTTAAGGTTTAGTGAATTGGAAGATGTAAAGAAAATAATTGGATGTATCTAGGTGAAGAGAGAAAAAGCAACATGCATAATAATTAATATGATAAACTAATTACTATGTTAATATGATGTGGGCACCATTTGGTTACCTGGCTAAAATATAATTCCTCTCTTCATTGCGTGTCTCTTTCCTGGTTTGTGACATCTACAAGGAACGGATGTTTTCTTCTGTGTGCGGAATGTGCTTCGGTGTCTAGCTCATACAGGGCACTCCTGTTACTTTAATACACTTGTGTAGTTATTTATAAAATATAAATCATTTAGAGAAAGAAAGACACATTTCCCTGGGAAACCTCCAGCTGTTTTCATGGTGTGGGACAGACAGATGGGGGTTTTTTGCTATCGCCAATTAATTTAATAGGGAATATCTCTTTTCAAACAGGTAACTTTAATCAGTCACAAACTTACTAAATGTCTTTCTTGAGTGTAAATGCTTATTAGTAAAGTTTTATTTCACTTTGTTGATTAATTTTGTTTTTGACTCCTATTAAGGGCTTATCTTTGTCATCAGTATTCTTCGCGTCGTGGGTGTTGCAGATTTCGTCCCCATACCAATTCGTAGCACTTTCACCATCTGTACTGAAAGAAGTGAAATCTGCCATTGTTCTTCCTTTACTCATCACCTTTTCAGATAATTTGAAGCACAAGGAGTGCTACAGGGTGCAGCCTTGGGGCTCTGCAAAGGAGACACGTTTCCCTTGTGGCTGGCTCCTGTGCTGGGACACGGAGTCTTCATGGAAGGAAAAGTTGCTTGCTCTCAGCTCTAACAGCCGGTCATAGGTTACTCTCTTGTCCTCACTGAAAGCACAGGTTTTTTGTTGTAGGGTAAACCATTGAGGAATAACTAAATGGAAGTATTTTTGTTTGCAGTGTGGTTTCTTGTTTGCAATCAGCCTTCTAATTCTCTTTGAGCTATAACATCTTAGCACACAAGTAAATTTAGTTAGCGTAAATTCTAAATTCTTCTCTTTTTTGATATTTTCACATAACTTATGCAAGCTCTAGTTTCTCCAGACTTCAGCTTCTTAGCATTTTGCAGTGTAGGCACTTACAATGACTTAAGAAAACAACAAACCAATAACACTTTATTAGACTCGTAAGAAATCCTTGCAAAAAAAAATTATGTCCAGCTAAAGTTTTTACTGAGTACATACCAAAACAAACACACTGTTTGAATAAACATTTTTTTTGACCCAAAATTCAGAACAAACTGTTTAACAGATGTGCTCATAACCAAAGCAAGGACTATTTTAAGCTTAGATACACAAGTGTTTAGACACCTAACTCCTCTGGAAACAAGTGGGAGTTAGCTTCTAAATACTTCCGTGGAACTGGGCCAGCAGTATAGTAATGGGTTATAGTTAGCATTGGAAAGCCTGGAATCTTAAATTCCTTCTTCTCTTCTCTCAGTCCTTAGATCTCCAACTGCTTGGAGGCACTATTTAGTGTGTACCATGTGCCCAAAAACCAATAGGTGGCAAGAGAAAAGGCATTCCATTTCTCTCACTGTGAATTCTGTGCATGAACAGAGAAATCAGATTATTTTTTTCTTGTAATTCATTCTTAATTTTGATACATGCAGCCCTTCAGAAATTCAAAACGGAGTCGACTCTTCTGTGAAGAAGATGACAGACAAATAAACACAAGGTCACCCAAAAGAAATCAGAAGGTTGCGATGGTTCCACAGGTACCTGCATGTATGCAGATATTTTTACCAAAACAGGGGAACAAGCCTATCTGTGTTAGCTGAAAATTTAGAATATATTTGCTTTTCAAGTTGCATTATCAGTTTATGAATATTCTTGTGAGGAAAGCTGTTGCTAGGAGTAAGCCACAATTCAGGACAGATTTATATTTTTCTTCCTCATAACTGGGTTCCTCAGTTTGTTTATGGGAGTACCTGTTCTTTTTGATCCTGGACATAAGCACACAGAGCTAGAAAGGATTCCAGGCTAATTGCCCATCTTGCTCCCGCAAACAGTCATATCCTGTGGTCTGCATAAATTTATTCAGCTTCGGTTAAAAACTGATGAGGTTTCGTGCACTAACTGCATCGTTTAGAAGGCTGCCACAGCACTTAACGTATTCCAACAGTTAGGAACCTGCTCTAGATTTATAGCCTAAATGTATTCATGCCCATCTATACCTTCTTGATCCTGTAATAATGTTCTATGATTCAACTTGGTTTTCTCCCCCTCCACTTGTCTGTCTACTCCTTGATACAGCCTGAAAGAGCAGCTGTAATTTCTCTCAGCCTTTATTTGCTAAGTTAGACAGGGCAACATCTCTTAGTCTCAAAGAATTGGCTCTGTAGTAGCTTTTTCATCCAAATCACTTCTCTGTACCATCACCTTACAAGCCTCAATTTGCCACACTGAAAAAATACTACTTGGATACTGGTGTTACTTGTCTTCTTAACTGTGTTGTGCAGTGTCGAATGGGGAAGCCTTAGCAGTTGCCATTTTCCTGGGTCTGTTTTGTCAGAGATGAGGACCACGACATTCCTCTCTGTTCGTTACCATGATTTCTTAACAGTAGAAAGGCCTGAATAATGTCCTAAGCCCAGTTGGTTTGTACTCCCGTGTCTGGTTCAAGAGGTGCAGGGATTGCTCGGTAAACGTTTGTGAGGACCACAGCTGCCGTAGCACACAGATCTCGCTGTCCTGCTAGGCTTTGTTTCCTGGCGTTCTAGCGGGAGAAAGGCAACCTGTGTCTGGAATGCAGTGGTTAAGGTGCAGCAGGAGCCAGTGAACCTCATGCGTTACCCTATTGTGGCTGCTTCTAAAGGCCAAAATGCTTTCTTGCGTTTGGGGAAGGGTAACAACTGACCACAGCGTGGGGACCCAGTTAAGCTGATGTTCTCAGAAAGCTGTTATTTTTTTGCAAATAAGTTTTTCTTTCAGTCAGTTAAGACAGCCATCCCTGGAACAGGATTACGGAATTGTTTTTCTACGGTCTTGTTTAAACGCAGGTCTATGCATTATGCATGCAATCTAAGACAGCGTCTTTCCTGACGTTTATAAAATCACTTTCAAACGTAGTTAAAACTTGATTGCTTATGTCCATGCTGGTTACTCTGGCAGTTTCCTAAAAAGCAGACTCTCTGCTGAAAGCTCTGGCTGTATTACCTGTGCTAGCTTCATCCTCAGTTTTGGAAGAGGTAGCAAGAGTAGAAGGACCAGAGCCGATGAGGCAGTCGATGTTGCCGGCATCTGAGCCCCAACACACGTTGGCTCGCTTGAGGCAGTGTTCGGTGGTGCCTCAAACACTTGAAGTCTGTGTGTGCTTCAGTGACAGTGCTATTGTTACCAGTAATGTCGTTTGAGTGTTGGAAAATGTTTCTGTTAGAAGAGCTTTGTACAGTGATAATTTGTTGTATTGATCAAAAAAAATGCCACCTGTTATGTTTGACTGCCTTGCTGACATAACGCAGTACCAATTTGCAAGAAAGAAACTGTCATGCATCAGTATGTGCGATTGAAATGTAACAGTTAGCGATGTGCAAACTTCTAGTTTAATTATTTGCATGTTGAAGAAGCTGAGACTCTGTTTAACTGTTTCCTTTATTTTACTGCATAGAAGTTTAATACAGCAATGCCGACGCCAGACAAGAAAGCATCGCAGAAGATCGGTTTGCGGCTTCGTAACCTGCTCAAACTTCCCAAAGCTCACAAGTGGTGCATATACGAATGGTTCTATTCAAATATAGATAAGTATGTGTGGTTTATAACATTATCTCTTATTAGTGTAGAAACAAATAACGTTCTGAAATTGAGCTGCCGATTTTCATATATTGGTTAGGTACTCCAAAGTTTATTCTTAAATTATTAGTTATCGAAAGTTACTTAATTGTTTTGTTTGGGTTTTTCTTTCTTTTTTTTTATACTGAGCAACCTACTTGGAATAGTCCCTTAGGTAGTCTTCTATGGAAAGCCTTCCCTCCTGAAAATAATTTTGGTTTTATCACCTCTGCCTATACCAGAGACAAGATTTTATTCATAATGTTTTTAGCATCTTAAGCGAGATGTTATCAGAACACTTAGGCCTTTTTGAATCCTTGGCTCAGTGTAACACACAGGGCATGGGAAGGAAACTGCTTCTTCCTAAGATGCCTCTTTCCTAAAGGGTGTAAATGTTGATTCAGATATTTCTTCCTCATCATCCTCTGTTTATAACAGAGCTCCAGGTTGTGACTATTCAGCTGTTGTCTAGATAGCAGCGTCCTTCTGGGATCCCCTAATCTAACTCCTAGACAGTTTCTGCAATTGGTGCCTCAGTTTCTAGCACTTGTTCTCTTAATGCCACTGTCAAGGTGCTGTGAATTGTTTAAAAGAACCATTTTAATTTAGTCCCTAATCAGGAAAAACTTAAAATTCTAAAATTTAAAAAATCATTATTGATGAATAGAATCTTAAAATCTACACTGATTGACTGTATGAAATATGAAAGTATTTAATATGCTAAAGAATGGCTTCAGAGTTAACGAGCATTCTTCTACAGAATATATTAATAACAAAATAATTACTGGTTTTCCTTCCTGTTTGAATCACGATTGCTGTGGCTGTTTTCCTTAACTGAGAAGGCAGTCACAGCAACAGAAAAACATTTTAGGATATGTTTATCACAATTAGCCAATTTACATGTCCGTTTTGTTAGTTTTAAATTCATTATCTGTAGGATTTAATTCCTTTGAAAGAATTAGTCTTTATAAAACCACCAAAACCCAATAAAGAACCCAACCCCTACTTATTCCTATTAGTAATTTTAATATGTGACATATAATTATGATTTTTACAACAGTCAAGGACTCTTAGTTTATTCTCAGATGATTGTGGAACTTTAAGGCTCAGTAGACCTGAATTTGAGTTTAGCAGGTGATTCTGGAATATATAAAATGAAAGTTGTCAATGTATGCTTGTCATACTAGTAAGATGTGATCAAGTTAATATATTATAACATAGTTTGCTAGGAAACTACACACCTGGAAGAAAAACTGATGTAAGTTGGTTGGAGTAACGTAATCTAGACTTAATGAGAAGCTTAAAGTTTAAAGCATGGAGCCAACTGACAAAATATGGCTAACTATGCAAGTCTCAAAATATTTTAATCAAATTGTCTGATCCAAAATAAAAAAATTAATTAAAATGCCATGTCTAATATAAGTTTTTAAAATATTTTAATCTCTACAGCTCTCATCTATGATTTTTAGATTATTGAAGCTGTTTCAGTTGGCTTCTCTCTGTGCTGCTGCAGAGGACTGTTTTCTGTAAAATCCCATTGACTCCTGGCACTCAGGCGCTTCTAAAGAGCTACTTGCTGCTGCAGTGATCGTAGACCCTCAGAACCAGATGCAGCTGTAGTTGCTTACACCATTCCCCAGAGTTTCCAGAGTCTTGTGGATGCTGTGGGTTTTCAGTTTGCCTGCTTAGAGACAAGTGATAGTAAAAACAATCCCCCCCCCCCCCAAAAAAAACCCAAAACAATTGTTCTTTACACAGATATCTTACCTTAGTTTTATTTTCTCCAGATTTACTATTGCTCTTTTATACACTTCCTTGTCTGTTTCCTGAGCCTCACTGATCATCCTCTCTGGTTGTAAGTAAAGTAAAAGGCACTCATAAAACATAAAGATACAGACAGGTCATAGCATCAAAGAGAAAGTCATAAGTTGTGTAGGTAGGTTCTCTGAACTGTCACTTCTATAATACTGATCCTCTGCTGCGTCATGGAGTCGTGATGTGGTGTAATAAAAGTCTCACCTGTAGAGCTGTAGAGAATGACAAGTTGGCTCCATTTCCTGTATTTGGAACCCTCTGTTGAGAATCTGGGTTATAATTGAAGGAATCTATAAAAAAGGTGCTGCCTGTCTGTTTCTCAGTATCGTGTTTTCCCTTCCTTTACTCTCAGCACCTCACCATATCTTTATGGTTTCCTTCAGTGTGTTGCAGTGGCCTCATGACACTGCATTGGTTTAGCTGAAGTTTCACTGGGTGCCTTTATATACATTACAAAGCGGGATGAATACGTATGTTTCCCTGTAGTAACAAGACAGAGGAACGTTTTTTTAAACATCACTGATAGTAAGGCTCAACTAGAACAATGGTCCTGGGAACTTTCTGTCTTTGTTTTCATTTGAATTTATTTCAGGGTAAAGTTTGAACAGGAGTGTCTTGTTTATGTGACATTTCTACTTTTTGTTTTCAATGTATTTCTTGTGATGGATGTGTTTTGGAATCTTGTGACAAAAGTTTATGAAGTGCAGCTAACAGAGAACCAATTATGTTTCAACAGACCGCTATTTGAAGGGGATAATGACTTCTGTGTATGCCTGAAAGAATCTTTTCCGAATTTGAAAACCAGAAAATTGACAAGAGTAGAGTGGGGGAAAATCAGGCGATTAATGGGAAAACCACGGAGGTAATTTTTTTTTTCTTTCTTACTTTTCACCTAATAGCTACATATAGTTTTCATGTTACTGGAATTGTCACTTCTGAAATAATTTTGCATACAGGTAGTAAAGCAAAATAATAACAGAGAGTGGAAAAACCTTTTCTTGAAAAGGTGTTCTCTGAGCACACGCAGTGGTCCCCCGCACACCCTGTTACATGTGACCAGCCCACGTAGCTGTCCCGAGCCTAGCTGTGAAATCTCCTGTTCCCACAGTAGATGCCTGAGTGTCCAGACTAGGGCATGTCAGAATTATTGTGGTATCTTCTGTGCCGCGGTGCTTCCTGGCACACAAGACAGGCTAATTTTTCACTGTTTTCTTCTTGCTATAACTAAGCTCTTCATGGGGAAAACAAGGGCATCTCCTTGGTTTTTTTTGGTGTGTTTTTTGGTTTGGTTTGGTTGTTTTCTTTTTGCTGCTGTTGCTTGGGGGTTTTTTTTTTATGACACAAACCAATCTACAGATTCTCAACTTTTCACAGCTTGGCTGCCAAAACAGAGGAGAAAGTCACCCATAAAATATTAGACATTGTAGAGAAGAATCTGAATTTAACAAAGGGTGGTTTTTTTCTCTCTCTCCGATTTAGAATTCTTAAATCCACTGATTCAGTTCAGCCTTTTCACAGAACATGTACAATTTAGCCTAGAGAAAAGAAAGCTCAGTGAGGATCTCATCTCAACTCTGCGTATAAATATCTGAAGGGAAGGTACAGAGAGCACAGGGCCGGACTCTTTTTCGGTGTTGTCTGGAGACAGGCCAAGAGTCAGTGGGCACAACCTGAAACACAAGACGTTTGGTCTTTAAATAAGAAAATATGTTTTTTCCTGTGAGGGTGACTGAGCGCTGGCACAGGTTGCCCAGAGAGGTGGTAGAATCTTCATCTGTAGGGATACTTAAAGAAAGCTGTCTGGACATGGTATTGGGCAGCCTCCCTGCTTGGAGGGATTGGAGCAGATGACCTCCAGAAATCCCTCCCAAACCATTCTCCGAGTCTGTAAGATCAGGCTAAAAATATGTAAGCAGTATTGCAGAAATAAGACTGGTTTACTTACAAAAGTGTAAGTACTAAATATAAATACTAAAGTAGTGAGTCTGTTTCATAGATCGCTCTATGGGGTCAGATTATATGTTGTCTGACGGAGGCTATTTCATCTTCTGTGCCTGCAAACAACTTCACCTACCTCAAAAATGCCAGCCCAGGGAAGGCGGCAGAGCCTCCTTCCCTTCTGAAAGGGTGTTCATATCATTTGAGCTTAACTGTGACATAGCTTTTAGTTCCTCTATCGTCATGCTTCCCACTGAGGGGGAATTGGTGTGTTTGGAGGTTAAATCATCACTTACTCATTTCGCTTTTGCCAAAAGTGGGTACCGCTATGGAAGATCAACTTGCCTCGTTCAGCAGTCTGTTGGGCCAGTGATAGAACTTCCTTTTTTCTTTTTTTAGTTTTCTGGGGGGAGGTGTTGGGGAAGGGTGGTGATGTTTGTTTTGCTTTGGGTTTTTTTGTTAAGCTACCATATAGTTGTTGTTTTTAAAAAGAGACTCATGCCTAAGGAACCACAAGTCGAAATGGGCAGGAAGTCATTTTATCTGTATTCTGAAGTACAAGTGTTTGACTGGCTATACAGTCTGGTTTTGTTTATTAACCAAAAATTTACGATATCCTGCTTTTATCAACCTAAAATAAGCTTTCCTGTTTGCTTTTAATGTCTTTAGTAATTTAAAAAAAAACCAAAACCCACATTTATTGGTAGTCTTTTTCAAGATCTCCCGAGTGGTCTTTGGGCTTGGTTCTAAAAGATTTTGAATTACTCTAAATAATTAGAATGCTTTTTTGAGATAATATTCACCTACCTGTGAGCAAAGCTTTTTGACATTGCTGTTTGGTGAGCTTACTTGCATATGATGACAGACAAGAAATTTCTAAATACCATGCTGAAGAGGAGAAGAAATAGACGTTCTGCATCCACATTGTTGATGGAAGAGGATAGTAGTGTCTCTGTGTGATAGCTGTGCACGATTGTTGTCTTTTTTCTTTTTAATTTTGTTTTAAATATATTGTCATATTTTCTTGTGTCTGCTGCTACTTTAAATGTCCTATCACACCATCAACAGTGTGGTTGATTGGCACAACAGTATGCTTCATGGGAACCTGCAAAGCTTGTAAGATTCCAGTAGACTGTGGGGAAAGATATGCTCCAAGGAAAGGAAGAGGTAATAGTTAGTCTTGTACTCTGTATAAACTTCACTGGGGTTGTGACATAGCAATGGGTATGAATTAAGCTCAGCTATGCTTGTCCTGCAACTATATGATGGTGATGATTCCTCTGTTAGTTCAAATTCTCATGACCAAGAAGCTGAGAAGAATGTTCAACCTCTTAAAAAGTCTCTATAGAAAAGTAACGAGGTTGCAATGTGATCTGTACCATAGTTTTCATCTTCCATTTTTCCTAGGAATGTCACAAAGATGGGTAACCTTTACTAAATACATTGAGGGGGGAAGGGAGGGGCATGGGGTTGGAGATCTCCTGTAACAGAATCCAGAATACATTGCAAATACTTTCTACCTCCATGACCTACGGCATTCAGAACAGAGACTTTTTCAGGACATCTGAGCTAGTAGTAAAACAGTAGTTGCTGTTGTAGAGACCTCCAAGGTCAGTGATTAATTAATATATTAGAAAAAACAGATTCAAATCGAAGAGCATCGGTCAAAGAACATCAGGCAATATCTGATGTTCCTGATGCAAGACCCTGAACGTGATCAAGACTATTATTGGAGTCTGTATTGCCCTTTTTTAAAACGGTTCAGTGTTTTGGGTTTTTTTTGGTCTTGCTGAGCTGTCACTCTGTGCTCCTCAGTGAAATTGCAAAGCTCTGACCTGCATTTTGCTACTTCATATGCACAGCCCATGGCAAGCATTATTTCACACTTTTCCTGCTCAGTTGTAAATATGAAGCAAATAGCATCTTTAAATGCGAGTGCCCAAATAACCTTCACAGAAGTCTCCCAACCACTATCTCTCTCTCTCTGCCATATGCCTTTCCAGATACTTTGAATTCCTAATGAGGATCATTAGGCAATACACAACTCCAGGTAAACACATTCTGCTCTTCAGTGGTAAACTGGTGAGTGGGACACGAACCTATGGCTGCTCAATCTACAACAGTTTCTAGGTTATACAAAGACTAGTGACGACCTTTGCAGTGATAGTGCCTGGAAAGCCTAGTAAGGAAACCTTCGGTGCAGTGCATTACTGCACGTACCTGAGAGAAGTACGCCACAGCTTCAGTTCATTCATTTTTGACTGGCTTTTCTTTTAATGCCTTGCTTAGTCCTAAGATCTCGTTGTGTTAATGCTGTACACACTGGACAAAACAGATGGTCTATGTCCCTTATAACTTAGAAACCATGCATAAGATTAAAGGCAAATGATGTATGCATATATACTAGACGAGTGTGAAACTGCTGGGCAGCATGAAAGACAGTGGTGTTGCCATCCTGGCAGCTTAGTTCTTATGTTCTTCTCACGCATGTTGCAAGGAAGAGAAATATGGGAGAGTAATGAAATGGCTTTGTGGACCACGCTGAATGAGGGATATACAGAATAAAACATAAGGATGTTTATTTTGGCATATAATAAGGGAGTAGTAGAAGCAGACTTGGAAATAGGAGCTGACTGCTCGGTACTGAGAGAGAAAGAAAAAACTGAGGAAGATGTTGAAGGGATTTAAAACAAAATATTTTGCAGTGTAGAAGGGGGAACCAGCAGATGAGTTGTCTGTCCTATAAAATAACCTCGTAAAATAGGACCTTTTATTGATCAGTAATCAATATATAACTGTAGGAGCTCCACAGAAAATGTTTAAATTGCGTTAGACTGCTATAAAGCAATTAACAAAGGTAGTAGATTATTTGATAAATAGATGCTTCTGTGATTAAGCAACTTACAATACCATCTGTACTCCTTTTTTAAATTACTTCTTTCATTGACACAAGAGCAATAAAACTTTTTTAGTAAGTAACGAGAGATAGGATCGAGGTCCTTAATGCCCTTATGCTTTTAGTATCTCCCTCGTGCAGCACAGAATTGTTCAGGTTGGAAAAGACCTTTAAGATCACCAAGTCCAACCGCTAACCCAGCCCTGCCAGTCCACCACTGAACCGTGTCCCTAAGCACCTCATCTACACGTCTCTTCAGTACCCCAGGGGTGGTGACTCCAACACTTGCCTGGGCAGCCCGTTCCCGTGCCTGACAGCCCTTTCAGGGAAGAAATAATGCCTATTCAATAATTTCAAAGTGAAAATGAATAAAACCAAGTAAGGGCCTTGGGAGTAAGTCCTCTGTCTTTTTAGATTACATTTTAAGACACCTCCTCCCCTCCACCTCCCCGAGTATAGGGGAGGAGACTGCTAGAGATTATCTGATTTTATGCAATAGTGCAAGTTCAAACAAATTTGTACTTTTACTGTGATCAATCTCAGAACAATTCATCTGCATAATAGAGATATTGTGGCTGAGTTGTACTCTGCACAAATGCAAAGAGATGAGCTGGAGAACTGCCCTTTTATGTTCTGAGGCTGGTGCCCTTTCATACTGAGTTTAATTGAGCACATGAGAAAGGGATCTACTTTCAGTATCAGCAAGTATCAGTATTACTGTATCCGTAAGTGATGGCAGCCAGGGACCTCGCAGCAAGTCCTCCTTACAGGCATTGAATTCAGAGTAGATTGGATGTGGGACCTGCTTTAGCTTTGTTGTGACACCAGGTGGATCCCTATAGGCAGAAAAAGCCTTAGAAAGTTGTACTCTTCTGATACGCTAATGCAACAGCTAGCATTCCTGAGTAATATTTTTAAATAAATGGTTATTTTGGGAATGATAATTCTGGGGAGGAAGACTGTCTAAATCTGTTCAACATAAACCTTTTCTTCTGAGCTTCACCCCGAGCTTTTCTGTTTTCCCTCACTGATTTGTTAGCTATGCCTATTTATTTGATGCATCTTCACATGTGTATGTTTTCAGTGCTGAGTTTAAGTATATTTTTACCTAAGTATATTAAGTATATATTTTACCTGATTGTACTCTAGGTGTTCCTCTGCATTCTTTGAGGAAGAGAGATCAGCGTTAAAACAGAAACGGCAGAAAATAAGACTTTTGCAGCAGCGGAAAGTTGCAGATATTTCACAGTTCAAAGATCTTCCAGAAGAAATTCCATTGCCACTTGTAATAGGAACAAAAGTTACAGGTAATTTCTTAAAAACAAGTCAACAAGAAAACAGCCATGTGTTTTGCAAAGATTTTAGTAAACCGTAATGTAGTTAGTGCACATAGTTAAAATAAATCTAGAACATCAAAAATTGTAAGTCTTTATTGTTAGCTCATTGAGAAGGTGCTTGTGAGGATTAGCTAATACTTTTTAAGCAGTGATACAAACTTAGTATGGCTTATTAATTCTGCTGTTCAAATTGTAGATTTTTTTTTTTTTATGTCTAGTATATCTAACAAATCTTGGATAGAGAGATGCTTAAATCCAAAGGGCTGAGTGCAGTCTGAAAATTTAAAATCTAGCCTAATATAAAACTTGAGCTTTATCTTTCCATAAATATAAAAATAACTGTTTTGAAATATTCAATTGATACTGCAGTGTAGTTGGGCATGTATATTAAACATGCCATTGCCCTACTGAAAAAGCTTACACATAACTGGGGAAGAAACAGTGTTAAAAACAGTCCACTCGTTTTGTCTATTTCAATAAAAAGCTCATGAAAACTCCCTCCTGTCTGTTTGTGATCCAGGTCCTTTTCACTGAAGCATGGCCTATCCCTCCCCTCTTCAGCTGGGCAGGGGGCAGAAAATAGGATGAAAGGCTGGTGGCTCGAGATAAGGGCAGGGAGAGATCGTTCAGCAATTACCATCATGGGCAGCACAGCCTCAGCTTGGGGAAAAAGATTAATTTATCACCAGTCAAAACAGTAAAAAGATCTTTACATCTTAAAACACCTTCTCCCCACCCCTCCCTTCTTCCCAGGCTCAACTTCACCCTTGCTTTTCTCTACCTGCCCCCCACAAGTGGCACAGCGGGATGGGGGTACTGTTCAGTTCGCCACACATTGTCTCTGCTGCTTGGAGAGAGGACTTCTGTGCTGGTTTTAGTTGGGATAGAGTTAATTTTCTTCACAGTAGCTAGCATGAGGCTGTGTTTTGGTTGTGCTGAGAAGAATATTCATAACATACTAACCTTTTTAATTGTTGACAAGGAATGTTAATACCAAGTCAAGGACTTTTTCAGTTTCTGATCCCCTGTGTTCCCAGCTTCTTCCCTACAAGAAGCTGGGAGGGGACACGGAGAGGACAGCTGACCCAAACTGGCCAAAGGGGTATTTCATGCCCTAAAACGTCATGCTCAGTATATAAGTTGGGAGTGGGCCGGTGGTCATGTGCCTTGCCACTCGCTTGCTCGCTCGCTCGCTGGGGCTTAGACTGGGTCTGGTGCAATCTCTTTCCCGGGCTTGGCCTGGCTCTCGGGTTCTCCAGCTCTGGCTCTCAATCAGTACCCGGCTGGGCATCAGCCAGTGAGTGGTGAGCAGTTGTATTGTTTGTTTCGGTGGTCATGTGCCTTGCCACTCGCTTGCTCGCTCGCTCGCTGGGGCTTAGACTGGGTCTGGTGCAATCTCTTTCCCGGGCTTGGCCTGGCTCTCGGGTTCTCCAGCTCTGGCTCTCAATCAGTACCCGGCTGGGCATCAGCCAGTGAGTGGTGAGCAGTTGTATTGTTTGTTTTCTTTTCCATCATTTGCGTTACATAGTAGTAGTGGCAGCGGTGGTGGTGGTATTATTTTCATTACAGTTTATTAGTAATAATATTAGTATTGTTGGTGTTGTTAGTATCATCGGTATTACTAGTATCGTTATTTTGTTTATTTTCAATTATGAAATTTGTTATTATCTCAACCCACAAGTTTCCTCA